GCCCAGAGCAAAACTGTGCATTTTTTGCCTTTGGCCCCGACGGCGCCATCCAATGTGGCTCGCCCCCATTGGACACTTCCTCGGGTTTGCCCTTCACCTAAAAGTCACCTTGGACACTTTGTCTTGGCCAATTGAAGCCCCTAAACACACTCTAAAAATTCAAATTGATTTTAAAAACTAGTGTTATACCCTTTTTCTACACTAAAATTTTCAAGTGGAAAAAACCATTTCTCAAGTTTTATAGAATTATGAACTAGGTAGATGCCTTTGTTACCCTAATGAAAAGTCCACATTATATTCAACCTCTCGAAAGCAATCCTATTCTTCTTTGATAGCTTGGGAAGATTTGAAATACCGGTTGGCCTTAATAAAGATATTCAATCTCAAGCTATACCAAAAGAGAGAGATGTGTGTGTGTGTTTGTGAGAGAGAGAGAGAGAGAGAGAGAGAGAGAGTAGTGTTGCAAGAAGATAAGCTTTAGGATTTTATTGATTGGATAATTAAAGTATAGGAATTGCTTGACATAATTTGCATATTTTGGATTCCAAGTTGTACACATATTATAAGTTTGGGTTGTTAGTTATTATACTACATAAATGGATACATTGAAAAGAAAAAAAAAATTACATTTATATTAGCATAATTTGTAGTTTGAATAGGTATCCTAGCCAAGAAAGCTTTCTTTTGATTCAAAAGTGCAAATTGACATCGACTAAATTAAAAAAAAAAAAGATGCCATGTTCGACGAAATAGTTTGTTATTATTTTTTTATGTTATTTGATTGCAATAAATTTATTTATAACTTAAAGATTATTTTATCTACTTAATATAAACTTCTTTGACGCTAATATAATTATTTTCATAAATATTTAATTTTTTTATTTATTTAGATTTATAAAATTCTTTGTTCATAATTTATATAAAAAATAAAAAACTCAATCAAAATTTTTACTTGTTTACTATTTTTATATGAAAAACCGATCACTCATTTAATTTTTTTTAGTTTTTTTAAATTAATATAAATAAGCCAATTACACACCCATTAAAAAATTTAACCAAACAAAGTATCAATATATATTTATGAAAGTTTGACTTAAGCTCGAATTGAAAATGAACAACTCATGATCGACGAATCCAAGTTGAATACATATCATACTCGACTCGACTCGACTCGACTCGACTGACTCAATGACAACCCTAACTACATGCATATTTATTGTTGCAATTTAACCCAACTGTTGAAAAACAGAATCCTTTTTGAAGCAAGTGTTTGTTTGAAAACTTTAAAGAAAACTTAAGTAACAGTATAGGTAGTATTTTACACACCTGGATTTAGTTAATTAAGGCATGTTTCAAACATGTGATGCGGACGATTTAAGCAGACGTGAACAATTAGGCAATGTGAGACCTCATTGCTTCATCTCACCCTATTATAAATTGAAAGCATAATCAATGAAGTTTGCAATTACAATCTTTTCTTACAATCTTCTTCATCTACATATGGATACTGCTCGCCAATCTGCACATTTCCACCAATCTGTTTGGGGAGATTATTTCATCAACTATTCACCTCTACAATCGAGAACTAGTCTGGTAATTACTCAAGGAGTATATGTTTTTCTATTCAAGGAATAGATTTAAATGTTAACATGACATCAAAATATGTTGTTATGCTAATGACCATTTTCATGACAAATTTTATATATGTCAAGGTGCTGTTAAATTTGCTTCTATAACTCTTACAATTATTTATTTTATTTTTTATTTTATTGCTTCTATAGCATATGTTGTATGTAATATTTAAATATAGATTTTTTTTTATGATTAAAATGTTTCTTATATGTATGAATAGAGTATTTATATAAACATCAAAATATAATTGATTTGTAACGCTCCATAATCATATCACAATGGAAGTTGTTGAATCCAAACTGACCCAAACCACAACTTATTTATTTACTAATTTGAACAATTATGATCGAATATTAAAAAAGTTAAACTTGCAACTTCTACTGAAGGATGCTTATGATTTTTGAACAAAAAATCAGGCACATCAAAAGCAAAAGAATGAAAAGCTTCGGGTTGAGATAAGGAAGATTCTCCTAGATACCATTGATCCATTACAATCACTTGAACTAATTGACTCAATGGAACGTTTTGGAGTGGCCTATCATTTTGAAAAAGAAATCAGTGACATATTATGTAGAGTTCATAAGACGAACATTGGTGATGATGATGATGATCTGTACGCAGTTGCACTTCATTTTCGATTATTAAGACAACACAAATATCAAATCACTTCTGGTACGTTAGGCTTAACTATAATCGAGCACATTGCTCCTCCGATCATGCAACCTTAGTGTAATTATAAAACATTTTTCTCTGTGTTTTTTGCAGATGTATTTATTAAGTTTTTGGATGATAAAGGAGAGTTCAAATCACCTTTATGTAATGATGTGAGGGCTTTGTTAAGCTTATATGAAGCAACTTATCTGGGATTTCCTGATGAAGAAATATTAGATAAAGCTAAAAACTTTTCAAGGGTTCACTTGAAGTCATCCATATACAACACAGAGCCCTCTTTAGCCCTGATGGTGTCAAGTGCTTTGGAATTGCCATTGGTTAGAAGAACAAATCGGCTCAAGGCTAGAAGCTACTTGGAAATATATGAGAATTATAACTTGTGCAATAAAAAGCTAATAGATTTTTCTAAATTAGATTTCAATCTATTGCAAGCTATTCATAAAGAAGAAGTTCAAGTAATATCAGTGTAAGTTCATATTTTTCTAATCTTTCTTTCTTCGAGTAGTGTTGGCATGTTTCAATTTTATGAAGTTTTAAGGGATTATTAAACGTTGCAATGTTATTAATTACTTGGTTTTAGTTGGTGGAAACAGTTATGCTTGTCCAAATACCTACCATTTGCGCGTGATCGATTAGTGGAATCATACTTTTGGATGCTTGCAGCTTACTCTGAACCATCCTATTCACATGCCAGAGTGATTAATGCGAAGATTATGCCCCTTATTGTGGCAACTGATGATATCTATGACATTTACGGAACACCAGAAGAACTTGAGTTATTCACCGACATAATAGAATGGTAGAAAATAAAAATAAAAACTCACCATGTTAATATATTAATTCAATGCATTCTGAAATAAAAATCTTTTTTAATAAATCATTGCAGCTGGGACCTTGAAAGAGTTACTATGTTGCCAGAATATATGCAACGATGCTTCCTTGCACTTTATAATACTTTGAAGGAAACCGAGGATGAGCTAGCACCTCAACACAATTCTTTTCGCGTTTGTTATCTTAAAGACGAGGTAATAGGTGAAAATTTTCTAAGAACACTTTCTAAGAACCCTTTTTTTTTTTATCTCAGCAGCATATTATTAAGAAGAAATATGATTTCATTACAAACTGGTAAGACTTTCAGTTTTCTATATTTTTAAAAATTGGTAAATTTAATTTTCATCCGGCTAAGACTTTCATTGTAAATTGGCTAAACTGTTAGCTTATTTTTTCTTAAAAAAATTGATAGCTCACTATTAACACAACTTAATAAAAATTAAAATCAAGAGATTAATATGACTATATATAAATCTATATGAGTTGCATTTTGTTCTAATCAATCATTTGAATTTCAGTTTAAAAATATGACTAGAGCATACCTTCAAGAAGCCAAATGGGCTAGCGAGGGCCACGTTCCTACGCTTGAGGAACATTTGAGAGTAACACTAGTTACTTCTGGGTACTTGTTAATCACTTACGTTGTCTATCTTGGAATGGAGGAAGTGATCTCAAAGGATACCTATGAATGGGTTTCTAGCTTTCCTCAAATCATCAAATCATTGTGTATAGTTGGGAGGCTTATGAATGACATTGGTTCTTATCAAGTAAGTTCTATGCATTTGATATTAAATTTAAAAATATTTTATCTTTCAAAGTTAAGCATCATGTAATTTTCACTATTGTCTTATATTTCAAATGTAATAAATATTTATTTTGATTATATGTTGCACTTGTTAATACCCATGTTGATAATTTGTCTTTCAGAATGAACAAAAAAGGAATCATGTTGCTTCATCTATTCAATGTTATGCCAAGGAAAATGGTTGCTCTGAGTTGGAGGCATGCAAGAAGCTTAGGGAAATGGTGGAAGAAAATTGGAAGATTATTAATAGAGAATTTGCATCAAGCAACATTCCACTATCATTAATTAGGCCAACCATGAACTTGACATACTTTGCTTATTTTGTTTATAAAAACAAGACTGATATTTACACTAACTCGTCAAAGTTCATGAAGAAATCATGAAGAAAAGCATCACCAAAGTGCTCGTTGAACCAATATTCATTCATAAGAAGTATTGAGAGTACTTTATTTTATGTGAAGTTATACTTTTGTATTTAAATAATGTTGTGTGTTAAGTTGTTACATGTGTGATAATGTTAGTCTTTAAATTTATGAATGTAAAATTAAGTCTTTTAAGTTGTCACTGAAGATTATGCATGATTTAAAAGAACTCTTTGAGTAGAATTTCACTCAGATGTAGATTTAATTAATGGTTCTTAAGATAATACATAATATTGGCAATTTTTTGTAGTATGTTTATTGTTTTAGTGTTCTACCATGTGTAAATAAATACAATATGACTATGGAAAATACCAAATGTGGGCATTGAGAAGTACTCTACCAAATGTGGGCATTGAGAGTCTCATGAGCAGAGAGGGCCATAAAAGATCAAAACTTGGGAGACCCCATCTCTCCTCACTCTATTATAAATTCCAAGCACAATCAATGCTATTTGTGGAGATTGTTTCATCAACTATTCAGCACTACAATAAAAAATGAGCTTGGTGATTTTCTTGAATGATTAAAATGTTTATATTGAATGAAAGATTATTTATATTAATGAGAAAGTATAATTGAGTTTGTATTGATTAATAATCATACCATAAATGTGTGCTGTTGAAAAGTTTTGTCCGTCTTGTCATTATATTTGGCTTCTAATATATAAACCTGCTCATTTAATCAATGTTAGGTGCTTCCTAATATGTATAGATGGGCCCCGTCAACTCTGCGACAAACTAGAATTGGACGGACGAGAATCCATGTCGAAAAAAAAGGAATAATTTGTGCCGTCGATGATCAAAATAAGAATATATAGATGCAAAAAATTAGGCGAAGTTTAAAGAAAAATAAGAATAGAGAAATATTATAAAATTGATTTTTACATTTCCTATAATTTTAAGGATTTGATTTTAAATCCGACCTTTTTTTTTCAATCTGAATGTACTAATACTTTTTTATTCATTAGTCCGACAAAAGCATTTGAGCTAATACATTAGAAAATATTACAAAAATGACTCTTTGATATGTTACAAATAAATTTTAATCATCTGGAACGAAGTTTAAGGAAATGATTTGAGCAAGAAACATTCAAACTTCAAGTAAGAGTCATTGAGAGCTATGATTTCATCAAACTTATTGTTAAATTGACCGGCTCGATGAGACGGATCCAATAATAACAAAATTAGTTCAATCCGAGCCAAATCAAGCTCAGGTCAAGTCATTAAATCACACTTGAAAGATTTTCGGACTTATTTAGAAGATCAAACGAATGTCAAATCTAGCAAACATATAGTCAAATCAAGCGTCTTGACAAGACAAATCTAACAAGTCATGGATTGCTTAATTCCGACATCGTTAATGTACTCAAAAACCGTAGGATCGAAGGAAGATCTTTGGACCGTCTGATCAAAGTGGTTAATATTCATGCACTCAAAATACTATAAATAGAGACCTACCCCTCTGATGAGGGGGAGGAGAGCTTGAGGCTTGATAAAGAAATTGAAACTTTGAGAAGAGATTGAAATCCATCACCACTTCTGCCTTCATCGATCGTCGTTGGCCGTCATTGAACACTGTTGTCCTCCATCGATCACTGTCTGCCACTATGGACCACCGTCGATCGCTGTTGACCACCACGTTCCTGCCTCCACCAAACGCCATCAGTCTCCACCCTCTTCTTACAACAAGTTAATTCACATGTCTACGCTTGTGGAACAAAGAGTCTCTGTAATCATCAACTTATAGTAAATATTTATAACTGGGCCAGACCCATGGTATCTCCCTTTACGGGTTTTCCATGTAAAAATTTCTGGTGTCACCTGAGTCCGTGTTGAATTCTCATGCAACGCTAAGACGATAATTAATTACTCTACCACCGCGAATTTTCTAGCATGCATCAACTCTAATTTCTTTTAAGGTGATCTTCTTTTGAATTTAGAAAGTTCTATTGAACTTAATATCCTATATAGGACTAGGGTTGATATTATTTAAGAAATGCAAATCATAATTTTATTTTGTTGGTTGGTAAAATTTTATAATAAATTAAACATAAAACATACAGCTTAAAATGGCTCTAGATTTTTGTTGATTTATTTGACTATAATTGCCTAAATCCCTACCAAAAAATATCGAAATGACTTGGGCATACAATTTGGCTCTGTGAAGGCATGAATCACTTAAGTTGATGCATGAATAACTTTGACCTAATCAATTCACTGTAATACCTGCTCAACTGATTTATCCTTTCCTTGGCACAAGGTTGACTAGTAGCATATAGGGAGTTTTTTTAGCCAACCATTCAATGTTGCCAACCACATCAAATCCATTATAGTGCTTCCCTTTGTTCTAATAAAAGATAAACAAAATGGAGGTTGATTCTCTCTAATAGCTATGCACACTTATTATGAAGTAATTCATATAAGAAGAATTGAATTTCCCTAAGTTCTTAAATATCCACTACTTCATTTCATGATTCATTCATCTCTAAAGCACTTTCTAAAAAGAAGTTGATCCATAGGAAAAAAATTGAGTAATTACTCACTTTTACTAAATCTACTCTAAAAGTAATGGGCATTCGTGCCAATATATACATCTAAACTTCAATCCATCAAAACAAATGTGCCCTTGAACTCATCCCTTATAATATGGTTCAAGTTTTTGAACAATTGCTTATTTGGTGATCATCTCTTATAATATGGTTCAAATTCTTAAATTGGCTACAAGGTTTTTTTATCTAATTTGTATATTGATCATTCATTTGTTCTCGCGCATTACTTTCTAGCATCATAGCAAAAAACTTGAGTTTAAAAACATGAAATTTGTATAATTTATCGTTACAATGAAAACTTAGTACTTTAGCTCTTCACCATCCAATTGTGCAGGCATCAATTTTTAAACTTGTAAAGTAATATTTTGATTCTATGAGTATTAAGTAGTTGTAGTAAATACTGTAAGGATTATGTTACTTGAATATTGTTCATTGTTTTGGGTTATATATTGTAAACATCCAACCTTTCTTCCATTCATTTGGCTAGAAGAAATGCTCGTAATAGTGATTTGTGAGCGGAGTGCTCGGGCTTTCATTGAATGTACGCATGAAGCCCAGATTCAAAATAGTTTTGAAGAAAAGATAAATAAATACATGAGATTTGAATTGAAAGTTCTTCAAAATGGTTGTAGAAATCATGAACTGATGAAGTTTGTTACAACTATGCTAATTTGCCTTACAGGACTCCATGTAACAATGGTCCAAATCATTTAAGGACATAAATTGTGAAAACATTCTATGGGCTAAGTGGTTATAAAGATGCATCCACTGATACCAACTCGAGATGTCATCCTTATAAACTGAAGCAATGATAAACCTAAGATCTTCAACTAGTTTCGAATAAGAAAAAACTTGTTCTGGTTTGAATAACCATTCTTGAGAATTCTCCAGATTAAATCATGGCATGTCAATCTTGATTACCCTTGTGGATGAAAGGTTTGTGAGTGGAAGATTATTATGGATGTATCATACATGAAGAATTCAATCTTTTTTAGATCACAAGCACACTCACACTTAAAAAGCATAATACAGTAGGAAAAGTTCAAAGAGAAATATTATTAATAAGAGTACTTCACAAAATTATCATTTTCCTGTGCACTATTAAAGTTAATAATCATCACATAAATAATACATGTTCTGCAAATTTATCGAGGATACAGTTAGAGA